CATCGCTATTAGGTTTGAGGCCATCGCTAGTCGGTTGGAGGCCATCGCTATTAGGTTGGAGGGCATCGCTATTAGGTTTGAGGCCATCGCTAGTAGGTTGGAGGCCATCCCTATTAGGTTGGAGGCCATGCCTATTAGGTTGGAGGCCCGCTAGTAGGTTCCACCACGTTCTGTTCTGTTCAAAAAAAGATAAAGAACACTCAAGGCACTGAAACCGGTCTCAGATCTCAGGTGGTGGCACACTTGGTCGAGGCAAGTCATGTCGCTCTGCGCTTGCACTCGGAACGCTCGGTGGGGTATTGATCTGCGACCTTACTTCCATGCTCATACGGTTGATGGCAGCAGAGAACGTCCTTCACGTGAACGTCGTTCCCAAGTGTTGATTAAGGGGCAGGCTGGGGTGTCTGTCCTGTATTCTGTGCCTCTTCATTCTCAACAGTGGCCGATGCAGGTTCTGGTGCAAATGCCAATCCTTTACCTTCTTCTCGTCTTGGCCTGAAAAGCGTTTCACGTCTTTCTATGATTCAGCTTCTTATGCTACTTTTTGCCTTTTTGAGCGTTTATATCAGATTCAGTGTTCAAGGCAATGGCCATATGCGACCTGTACGGTCCACAGGCCGCCTGTCAAACCTGGCAATGGGCTGTTGACTCTTAGCTGCAAAGTTGTCAACTTCGCCAGCCGTGTCTAAAAACATGTTGAAGCTCGAGAACTCCTTGAAAGGCTTTCAATTCGGCAGAAGTGAGGCACAAACCTTCGGGGAGTGCTTGAGGTGCGCTTCCTAGCCTGGAAAAGAGCGCTGCTGTCCCTGCTGTACAGGTTTTATTGTAAGACCTTCAATCAACAAGTACTTCAAGACAGGACAGTCTTTACAAATCCCACAAACAACCTCCGGCCTCGCGGCGAGGCACGCTGCCTGAGAAGTAAGGACAAAGAAAAAGGAACACAATGAATAAATAACAAAAGGAGAAACCTCTAATTTAGCTGCTCTTAGGTTGCAGGCCATCGCTATTAGTTTGGAGGCCATCTATATTAGGTTGGAGGCCATTGCTATTAGGTTGGAGGCCATCCCTATTGGGTTGGAGGCCATCGCTATTAGGTTGGAGGCCTTTGCTACTTAGGTTGGAGGCCATCGCTAGTAGGTTGGAGGCCATCGCTAGTAGGTTGAAGGCCATCGCTATTTGGTTGGAGGCCATCGCTAGTAGGTTGGAGGCCATCGCTATTAGGTCGGAGGTCATTGCTATTAGGTTGGAGGCCATTGCTATTAGGTTGGAAGCCACTGCTATTAGGTTGGAGGCCATTGCTATTAGGTTGGAGGCCATTGCTATTTGGTTGGAGGCCATCGCTAGCAGGTTGGAGGCCATCACTATTAGGTTTTTTAGAAACAAAGAAGAAAGAAAACAGGAGGAGAGAGGAGAAGAGAGCGAGAGCACTGAGGCAAAGCGCTCGCAGCTCCGTAGACAACTCGTGCTTGGTATGCGGACATCTGCCATGGCCACTTTAACCGCTCTGGCACTGGCCGCAAGCTTTCTCAAAGCTGTTTGCTGTCTGGTCTCCATCAACTTCTAAGCTGAATGCTTTTATGTCAGAGTTTCTGGAGTTGATCTACATAAGCATCGCACGTCAGATTTTGATGCCGAATCGACATTGAAGAATACCAGACTAGCGACTATCAGATCGACAAGAGCTACTCACAGAGGTTCTGGAGATATCTGATATCTGGACAGCAAATCAAGTTTGCACAGAGTTAACCGCTTACACGATCATTTGTCCACATGGACACCTCAAAGAAAACGATAGCAATCACCATGCTATTTTGTCTTCCCTTCACGCTCAAACCGGTATGTCTTGCTAGATCTAACATTGAGATCCCGCTCGCTCTCTCTTTGAGGGAGCGTCCATGATTGAAAATTCCGGTCCGACGCTTTGCAGATCCGGCGACTATCAACTCATGCAACGAACTCTCAAATATGCAGCCTATCATTGCACTTGCTGCAACAAAGGACTAAGCAACACCAAGTATTTATGATACAGAAGTCAAAGCGACCTAAAGTCAAAGGGTGCGAGAAGCTCTGCAATTTGCAAAAACCAGATCTCTGGTCCTCAGAAGTCAAATCCTTGGACAGCTATCAATTGCACAAGCACCAGAATAGAAAGGCTGCCAACGCCATCCAGCTTGCCTCAGATTGCCCCCGTGGGGGACAAAGTGGCAAGTGGTAAGACCAAAAATGACAAACCAAATTCCGCCGTGCCTCGCTCAAACGATTTTTCTTCCTCAAGAGGTATGATTCTACAAAAACCCTTTAAAGCCCACATGTTTTTACGGTAGTAGTTGTGTGGTTTTCTCAGATACCTTGATTGTGCAAATCTCCAGTACAAAATGTTAGCATATCAAGCGCTGTCAGGTTGCACCGTGAAGTGATTGGCTTCTGAGTCGACACTAATTCTGTCTGGGTAAGATCCATGTAATCGATTCTCCTTCCGAAAGGAAGCTCGCCAAAACTCGAGTTGATGGCAATGAGAAGTTGAGTGGCCATCTCTGGGATTTCAGAAGAAACATCGAAAGAATATGCTGTAGCAGCGCAGCACTCATAGACCTTGTCGCTCCGGTCAACATAGCCCAGAGTCTGGCCCACCTGTGTTCCACAATCATCTGCAAAAAAGACCCGATATCCATGGATCCCCGAAATTGGCAAAACTGGCATCTTTCCCTTGGCGTGCGCTTCGCCAAATTGAAGTGTGCCCGCAATGTAGTTAGGACGGGGATCTGAGTCAATAAACGGTGTGTTTCGGCAGACTTCACATCGGATCTTGCAAACACCAGAGAGCCATTGAGCTTCCTGCTTCGCATTTGTGTTTTCGCTGGGGCCTGGAGCAACCAGAGGAAAAGAAACTGACAAAGAAACCGACATCTGGTGATGGTATGTCTTTTTGGTGTTGGCCCATATCGGGAGGGTGATTCAAGTGGTGCAAGAGATTGTCCACCAACCATTTATTCGATTCATCTTCCTTTGAGTGCAGAAACACACATATAAAGATATGTAAAAGCATCTTCCCACCAGAAAGACGTCGTCCTTGTCCTTCTATGATTCTATGCCTTACCTGAATGCATCCGGAGCACAAATAAACTGCAACGGACCACCGGAGATGCAGTCAGAGGGAGCACATCTTGATTCACATGTCTCTCCAGCAGGGATCATTTGACAATCTGAAGGATCGCCCATGTAAGCCAGACTTGGAGGTGAACAGTGCCGCAACGCCACACAACCAGACAAAGTCACGTTCGACTGGCAGGTGGCAGGATCAATGCGGCATGTGGCCTGAGCTGTGCCTGTCCAGCCTTCTTTACACCTCCATTCGCCTCCGTCTCCGGAATTCCTCACAAGCTCATAACCAGCTTGAGCAGCTGGAGGGAAGCAATCGCATCGTAAAGAGCTGTCAAACTCAAGTACTTGCGCAGCATCTGTGTTGTCCACAGGGCATCTACCAACGACATCTCCCCCCGAATATCCTTCCTGGCATGACATGATGCAAAACTCACCTGGGTACACTCTGCTACAATTTCCCACATCAGTTCTACATTGATGCACAACTGGCAAGATACACGGCTGCAACATCAAGCAGCCCCAGAAATGCCAAAATGCTTCACAAGTTGTAGTGTTGATGCGGCATTCCACTGCAGCAGCTCCTACTGCTCCTTCTGCACAAACAACATCCTCAACAACTCCTTGCTCACCAAGCGTATAGTTGGGGTGCAGAATGTGGGGTGCGATTTGTGGACACATCAAGTTGCAGTCAGGCGCTTCCCAGTCGGCTGGTCCATCTCTCTGCGTGTTTGGATTTGGGCAACTTGCCATGGAAGAGTTACCTTCATATGGGAACTTGCATCGAGTCTCGCAGCTGGCTCCCGGTGCTATTGTTGGACCACAAAAGGATTCAAACTCGCATTGATTGTGCCCGGCAGGATTTTTGCAAGGCACATTTTCATCGCAGCCGCTTAATCTCAAAATAGGTGCTCCACAGCCCGGGCTTTGCATACAAGTTGCCTCTGCTTGTCCTACGTAGCCCTGAGAGCAAATCCAGCCGGAATCTGGTGGTTCCAAGTCTTGTCTGAGTGCAAATCCCAACGGGACTGGCTCAGGCATGGGGCATGCCAAAGTGCAGCTTTCGTTGTTCCAGGTCAAAGGATGTCTCGGGATGGTGTTGCCTTGTGGGCAGGTGGCCAAGAAGTTTTGCCCTGAGAAAGGAGCTTTGCACTTCACCTCGCATGATGAACCCGGAGGAGTCTCGGCACCGCAGCCAGAGAAATCAAAGCGGCACGGGTCAAACATCTCGCTCGGAGGTAAAATACACTTCTCTTCACGGGCACAACCGCTGAGAGTCAACTGCGGGTTGCAATCATCATCTACATCGCAGTGTTCTTGGGGTCTCCCATCATAGCCTCATCACGACAGAAACAATGAATTCCATATTCTTTACTTCCCACCAGTCCAATCACGTTTCCTATGCCTGCATCCCATGAAAATGAAAAGCACTTCACGTTGGATGATTACAAACCGTCCAAAAGAAGTTGTCTGCAGCCAAGTGGCCTGGGGCACATTGCCATCCACAATTCTCTATTTTTACATAGCCTGGTGGAACCGGATTGGGATCTGGACACTGTAGGCTGCAGTCTGGCGGGATAAATTCTAGTTCTGTATGGGGATCTACATTGTCTGGCTTGCAAAATGCTCGGCCTGGGCGACCTGAAAAGGGCGGGACACAATGGAATTCACAGAAGCCGCCAGAAAAGGTGTCCTCACATTCTGAGAAATTGTACCTGCACAAATCTCGCCCTTGAAGCCTGGGAGTGGAACATGGCATCAATGGAACGCAACCAAATAACTGCAAGGTACCACCACATTCATCAGATTGTGCACATGAAACAGAGACTGAGCCGCGAAAGCCGTCAGCACATCGCCAAGTGCCCACATCATAGCCCCTCGGCAAGGGGTTTTCAGCCGCCCAATCATCAGCAGAGAGACAAGTGTACTCACCGCAATAAAGATCCAGGTCTGGTGCAAAGTTTGCAACGGTGTTGTCAGCAGGACACTCTGCATAGGTGGTGTTGGCATTAAAACCTTCTTTGCAAGTCACGTTACATGACTCACCTGGTTGGATAGGCCCTTGACATTCCGTGAAGTCCAGCTTGCACAACTCGTAATCGTCCACTTGCGGTCGGTCGCAAGGGGACAATGGATAGCAGCCGGTCAAAATCACGTTGGGAAGGCAGGTTACCAGATCGATCTCGCAGCGATAGCTGGCTTGCCCATAATAGCCCGGTGCACATGCATAAGTGCTCCACGCGAGGTACCAATAACCTTCTGGAAGAGGGATGGGCACAGGACAGTGACAAACAGGAGCCAGCCAATTGATGACTTTTGCTGGATCAATGTTGTCAGCTGGACAGCCAGCACCAAGTTTGTCTCCAGCATATGGGGTTTTGCAATAGACAGTGCAGACCTCTCCTGGGTCAACACCATTGCAAAAGCCATTTTCAAGGTCTATCATGCACTGCTGCTCTGGTGTCAGAGATGGCGCCAAGCATGGAACATAGGGCTCACAACCAAAGAGGCGCGGAAAGGCCACACAAGAAGTCTCGTCCACCACGCACTCGGACCAAATGGCACCAGGTCCACGATAACCTGGTGCACATTGCCATTCTCCGAAGACGTTTCGGTAACCAGTCTGTGATGAAGGCTCTGAGCAGCCAAGAATACAACTAGGCGGTGTCCACACAGCCCCTAGGGGGTCAATGTTGGGATCTCGACATTCCATGGTGCCATGTGGCTCACCTAGTGGAGTCATGTAAGGTGAAAGGCACTTCACTTCACATGATGTTCCTGAAAGGAGTTTTCCGTCACTTGGGCAGGCTGACACGTCATGCTGGCAAGAATCGATGCTCGGAAAATCACAAGGTGTCGTTGGGAAGCAGCCTGACAATACGTACTCAGGCTCGCAGTTTGTATCGTTGACAATGCACTCCGCGAGTGCAGCTCCACTATACTGATTGTTCACATCGCAAAGCCACCTGCCATTGCTCAGCACATATCCCACCGGAATAGGATCTGGCAAAGCACATTCAACATCACAGTCAATGGCCCACTCCCCAAGCAGAGTGCCCCAAACAGGCTGTTGACCTGTCCTGGTAGTGCTACCAGGGCAGTATGCCCATGTAGCGTTCTCTCCCTGGCCTCCAGTATAGGGCTCCGCACATGTCACGTTGCAGCCTTGTCCAGGCTGTAAAGACATACATTGAGAAGCGTTGGTTCGGCAAGTGTCATTGACAAAGAGTGGTGCACACTCGACTGTCAGAGTGCAGCCACTGATAACCAGTTCCGATCTACATTGACCTGGAGCACTTCCAACGGCAGCACAGTACCAGCTGACCTCCCCAATGTAGCCCTCATCACAGACCCATCCACAAGGCGTCTCAATGTAGCCCGCCGGCACGTTCATCTCACACGGCTTCAAGCTACAGATTGGCTCCAAATAGACGAGCTCGCCGTTGGGATCTGTGTTGTCAGATGGGCAATATGCGATAGTCGATCTGCCCAGGTAATCGGAGCCACAACGAATGGTGCAATTTCCACCTGGTGGAACTGACTGACACTCTGAGAAATCGAACATGCAAAGCTGGTCCTGGTCAGGGGGGTTGAGATGTGTTTCCATAAAAACAGATCTGCTTTGAAAGCTAGAATACTTATGTTATGCATATTTATGCCACATGCACAGAAATCCTCAGCGCTGTAGCTTGATGAGCGAGCACCTCGTCCCTGCCCCACTCTTGGTGGTGCGCAGGGCACTCGCAAGTTGCAGCCTGAGAAGGAATACGTGGGATTACATTGATCCAAGAAGTCCGCCGCACAGCGTGATGAGGGGCTTCCAGAATAGTTGGTCGCACACATGAAGCGAGTCTTCACGTACCCGGGCGGATCCACTGGATCCTGACACGTCAGAACACATCCTGGGAACGTCCATTCCAATGGTGTCGTGGGATCAATGTTTCCTGCTGGGCAGCGGGCGTCCGTGGTGTTTCCAGTAAAACTTGGACCACACGAGACTTCACATGTCTCTCCAGCAAAAACGTTGTGACACTGTGACCAATCTACCGAGCATGGTGCATCATGTGGGACGGCGCACTCGCGTTCCGGGACACAGCCCGAAAAGGTATATGCAGCAACACAGTCACCATCATGAATGTTGCATTCTGCCTTGGCCTCTGGATTTGCTTTCCATCGAGGAGCACAAATCCAAGCCTGCTTCCCATCAGGGCCCAAACCATTTGAAAGATAGCCCGCAGGAAGCGGATTGGGCATGGGGCATTCTAGGTTGCAATCCGGGACTGCCCAATTCAGCTTCTGTCCTAAAAGCGTGTTGTTTGGAGGACATGTTGCGGTTGCAATGCCTCCCACGTATGGCGGACGACAGGTCACCTCGCAAGAATCCCCTGAGCGGACTGAAATACACGCATGCTGGTAAGAGCATTGCTCACCAGCAGTAAGTGTGGGAGGATCACAAGGAAGCAAAGCACTACAGCCTGCAAATTGAAGCTGTGGATTACAATTCAGATCGGTTCCACACGTGATCATTGGAACTCCAGCATAGCCAGAGGCACATTGCCAACCACCATAAACTCGAAGATATGGATGGGATAGATACCCAACCGGCACATTGGCAACTTCGGCACAAGATAGAGTACACACAGGTGCTTCCCAATCAAGTTCACGAAGCGGATCCGTGTTGCCCAAAGGACAGCTTGCGCTTGTGGAATTGCCTTGGTACGGCCTTTTGCAGTGGACCTTGCAAGAACTTCCCGGGGCAGCTGACTCTCCAATGCATTCCGTGAAGTCGTACATGCAAGAGTTCTCCACTGGCAGGATACAGCGAGCCAACTGTGAGCAACCCGAAAGAACCTTCTTGGAAGCGCAAACAGAGTCAATAACGCAAGTCCAGTCAGCCTCACCGCCATATCCAGGAGCGCAAGCCCAACCGTTGCCTCCGGAGACTTTGATGTAACCTTCAGGCTCATTCGGAGGATCATCGCACAGCAAGGTACATTCTGGTTTCACCACCAGGAGACCGATCTCAGAATTCACATTGTCAGGCTTACACAAAGCCCAGCTCGGCCATCCAGCGTATGGATCGCGGCATTTCACCTCACACGAGCCACCGGGTTGTACATCCGAACATCCTGTCACGTCCAATTCACAGCCAATCAGCTCGATTGGAGCTGCACACGCAGCCGTCTTCTCACAGCCAAAATATTGCAAGGTGCTTTGGCAAACATCATCTGGCACACAACGTGCCACAGCATTACCTGCGAAGCCTGCTGCACATCCATATGTCGTCACACCATTCGGGTCATCAGGTGGCACTTCAACATAAGCGTCTGGCAATGGTCCAGGGTCTTTGGTGCAGTCACTTGCAAATAGATCACAGTCCGGAGCTGTCCATTCCTTACCGGGTGCTTTTCAACGGCTGGCTTTTAGGGTTTCGGTGTAATCGCATGAAGCAGGCCGCGGGCCTTGACAGTGGCTCGTTTGCCAGTGTACCAAAATGAACTTAATTGGGATGGCCTCCAACCTACTAGCCATGGCCTCCACCCTAGTAGCGATGGCCTCCTACCTACTAGCGAAGGATCCACCCTAGTAGCGATGGCCTCCTACCTACTAGCGATGGCCTCCAACCTATGTATACATCATGGATTATGTAAAGCTTGCTAGAGAGTTCAACCTTGGTCATTGGTCTTTCTATGTCTTTCTCACAGCATTCAAAGTTTCACCGGCTTCTCGCATGCTGCCTTGTCTTGGGTGGTCTCAAATATGAACATGCCAGTCTTGCAATCGCCTTCGACGTTTTGTTCGTGCCTCTCTACCCAGCCTTCATACGCTAACTTGTTGCTATGTTCATGTTCTTGTCAAATGCTTGCATAGTGGCCTATGCGTGTCAGGTTGAGCAACAAACTAGTTGCTTGCTTTGGTGTCTAATCATTGCTTTCCTACTCTTTCTTCGCTCTTCAATTCTATGGCATTTCAAGAAAAGCTCGAACTTTTTTAGAACACAGCATAGCTCATCCACAAAAACTGAGAACTGGTCCGCCACTGTTGCACGATTTGTGTTCCCAGGTGGACAGGAGGCCAGCGCAGCCTGGGACGAGCCATGCTGTTTTCTGGAATGAGCCAGAAGAGTTGTAAGGGAAAATTCTCGGTAGTGACTACAACTTGCAGTTCAGTCAAGCACATTCGTCGAGGCGAGCCTAATTTTTCTGAGCCACTGCAAACTTAGTAGCAAGGGGTCGTTTAACTTTGCCATGTTGTCTGCATCTTTCTTTCAAGTGCCTCTCCAAAAAAGGGACTTCGACAGGCTACGGGACATGATGTGCCAGCTGGCACCTGGCATACAGAGGAGGACTGAAAAGTCAATCGCTGCAAACACACTGTGTAAGCACAATCGTCCAGCCGTGAGCAGGTGATTGTCAAACATGAAGGCTGGACGCTCTCGCCACATGCCGATATGTCAAACCTTCCAAACGCTGTGATTCAGTGTGTGCAGCTGAAATCCCTGACCTAAGCCAACCTAAGCCTCTACTGGTAAGGAGTGTGCCCCTGCTTACTTTGTTTTCCTGTAGATTCGTAGTAGCGTTCTTGCCATAAATACCAAACTTTGACTCTTTCAGTAAACTCAAGGGTGGAAGAGTCTAGGTTCAAGGGTTCAAGTTCACATAAAAGTTCTGCAAACTTTGCAACGACAATATTATTGTCCAGGTTTGCCTGCACTCGTCAGCCTTGGTCAGCTCCATGAGCTGACAAGGCACACCACAGGTCATGGCTTGGCCTCAGAATGCAGTCATGGACACGTGAAAGATGCTGAAAGCGTAAGAAGCATTTGCCGTCTTGTACAAATACGCCTAAGGCAAGAGCCAGGCTCCTCTAGCTGCACCAGCAAGCTTGGACATCCCTGTGCGTGGCCTGCCTGGATCCTGGCAAGAGGACAGTCTCACTTCATTAACTTTCTGAACTGATGCCTAACGGAATGTGCCTCAAGAGCAACAGAATGCTGAAAATCATGCAGTATGACCTGAGGTCACAAAAACTGGCCTGGCCACAACTAGTCTGCACGTGTCCACGTGCATCTGAAGGAAAAACTGGGGTCTCAGCAATCCATGCAGTCAAATTGACATTTGCCTCGGAAGAGAAAAATATCAAACGAGGAGCTCTACATTCCTTCCAATGGCTTAACTGCCTCTACCCTCCTCTTCAGAAAAAAAAGATAGACTAAAGAGACGCTCGGAGGGCGACCTCGGCTTTAATTTAGCCCAGCTATGGGTGTCGATCTTGCGGATCCGCTTCTTACACGCCCCTTGCCATCCCTGACCTTTTTCCAGAATGCCTATACAAAGGCCTCCCATTTAACTTTGCGGTCTGGGGATAGAACTGTGGCGTGTCTCCCATTGGGGGAACTTCTGGAGGTCTTGGATGAATCGATAAAAGATCAGAATGATCAGATTCGTGTGATGATTCGCTATTAGGTTGGAGGGCCATCGCTATTAAGTTAGAGGCCATTACTACTAGGAACAAGAAGCTACTAGCAGCAAGAAGCTACTAGGTGGTTTCTCCTAGAAAAGGTGTCTTCACTGCGCAGCTCCGTGTCATGAGGTCGGCAGTTGGTGAGGCTGGTCCTTTTGGAGCTGTTGGCATGTTGCAGGATTGTTGACGTGTGATTCGGAGACATGTCGAGGTGTGGCAGGGTCACTTCACTTCTTTTCGTGGCAAGCGAAAAGCACTTTGTGCGCGTTGGAGGTGTTGGGAATCAATCAGTGTGCCCAGAGAATCGCGACACTGCAATGTTCGGTGCACATCATTCCCACTGCACCCTTGGGATTGGTGTGTGAGCGGGCTGTGGAACCTGCTTGGCAAGGCTCCTTGGAAAGCCCCGCCTTGTGACAAGTCCCACTTCACTTGAAGGAACACAGTGCGGTACAAAGTGCTTCGACTTTTGGAGACGTGGAAACGCTTTGCTGTTTGGTCCTTTTTGTACAAATGTCGTGCATGGGGTAGCTTGTGGGACCTAGGCTCCATGCCTCACAAGGATGTCCCACAAGAGTGTCCTAGAACTACACCAGCAAAGACCCCAAGCAGTTTGACAAGCAAGAGAGTAACAAGAAGCTACTAGTAGCAAGGACGCTTAGGTGGCGGCCATGGCTATTAGGTTGGAGGCCATTACTACTAGTAACAAGAAGCTACTAGTAAGAAGCTACTAGGGACAAGAGGAGGACACCAACCAGAAAGAGGCTCACTCAGGCTTGCCAAGCTGGACACCGGCAGAAGGATAACAAGACGACAACCAAAGGACGATACACCAACACAGGAGGGTTCGCCAGCACAGCCGCAAACTGTCGGCACCTTTTTTCTAAGAGCTGTTGTTTGTCGTTGTCCCACAAAATTGTCATATATAAGAGTGTCACACCTTCTAAAATACTGTAATCGAATGGTTCTGCGTTCGGGTTCGCGGGCTTCATCTTGCCCGAACACATCATGATTGTACCTCCCGGATTCCCCCCTCACTTCTCAGCCAAAAGCACAAGTTCACCCATGGACCTATTTACATTATCCACACACTTGCAACTTGCCATGGCCTTTTCATGCCGTGCCTTTTCTCAATGTACATCCCTTCATGTCGCTTCAATGCTCTTTTTCCCCCCGTTTGTTTCCTGGGGTCAGCCACCATCGACTGCGGATCCTGGATCCTGAAAACTTGTCCTTGAGCAGCTGAAAAACGGCCCAAACCAGCTTTGTCTTTTCCAATCTCTTTTCCAAGAGTGGCAACAGCAGGTCAAGTGAAAAAGGAAACTGCTGTGCTTGCTACTTGCTACTCGTATCAATCCATTTGTATACGTGTCTGTGTCAAACTGACCTTTGGCCTCCTCGCAGCAAACTTCCCTGTGGCCTTTTCAATTGCTCCTTCTCGCTCCCTCGCGTGTTGCTGAGTTCTTTACATCTATTCTATTTGTCGTTTGCAACAATTTGTGGGATATTTTTCTCAGTGTCGATGTGAGTGTCAAAACACCTCAACACATCCAAGGAATGGCCCCTGCACTGATTTGCAAAATCTGGATGTTTGGGCCCGGTCCGCTAGGTCTTGATTGCAACACCTAGGCCAGTGAAACATCATTTGACGGTGAAACACAGATTAGACGCTGGCAGCACAGGCTGAAAGAAGCCTCGTAGGTACGAATCTGCCCTGGCGGCAGCTGACCTCACTGTCTGCCCCCTGCTCATCGAATCGCTGGCTTAGCTCAAGGGTTATCCGTCCATCTGTATATGTGCTTTTCCTGCTTTTCTTTTGGGCCCTGCCTCAATCTGCCCGCACCAAAGGTGCTGAGTCGTTACACAGTCAGAAGCGCGTTCATCGTTGTTTATAGTTTTAGCCAGGGGGTGACAAATTTCGTTCCTGCATAAGAGGTGCCTGAGAGAGGCGGAGTGAGAGTGGAAGAAAACATGAAAAACCACATGGTTTCGATTGGTTTCATATATGTCTGACTATATACATTTCTCATGATCGTATTATTTGCATCACCAGCTCCACGAAAACCAAGCAAACGACTCATCTCAACAGTCTATGTCTTAATATACCTCTCATTGTTGCAGCATTTGCATCAGTTGGTTGCAGTTGTAAGGCTTATTATGGCGACATTTGCGTCAGCTGGCTGCAATTGTATAGTTTCTTGCACAAAATGCCTGCACACTGGTATAGGTGGTTTGGACACCCTGAAGACATATACAATTTCAAATGGTTCAACAAATTATATATAACAATGCTCGCAAGTTGCAAGCAAGGCATAACTAAGCAATTTGAAAGAGGGTGCAAAATAGAGTGATTATTGAGACTTCTTGACATTTATTCATCCACTTCATGCCGCGTTCAACCCTAAGTCTAGTCTTGTCTCGATCACGCACATTGTACAGTTTATTGCACATAATCGCTCTCTTTCGACCCGATTGAAAATGTACATTTTCCCAGGCCCAAATTACGCTAATGTGCAGGCATTGTTGGATTTAATTTGGACCCCTGAAAAATGTACAAGTTCAAGGGGGCCGAAAAATATGTCCAACGATGCTTGCAAGTTGCAAGTATATAAGACATGGCTCAGCAATTTGTCACAGGGTCCAGAAATAGAGTGAGAATAGGACTTGCTCATCTTTTTTCATCCATTTCATCCTGGGTTCATCTCCAAGTGTTGTTTCGATCAAGCATATTGTATATATAGTTTATTGTGCACAATCATTCTATTCTTTGACCCCCTTGAATATGTAGGGGTTGAAAGTAGATCCAACAACGCTTGCAAATAGCAAGACATAACTAGACCATTTGTCAAAGGGTCCAAAAGTAGAGCGATTATAGAGAGTTCTAATTTAACCTTGTGACCCCAATTAAGTAGGCGCCTACTTAATTAAGTAAGGTACTGGACGTTCCTAGCTACTGGACGCAGAGCTCACGTTTCTTCAAGGAAGCTCCCCCGGCCTGAGGACGGGGGGAGCTTTACTGAAGAAGGGCTTGCACTTTTGAAGAACTGTTCATAATAGCTTCTTGTTCCTAGTAGTAAGGCCAGGAGCCCCTAGTAGCGTCCTTGCTCCTTGTAGTGATGCCAGGAGCCCCTAGTAGCTTCTTGTTCCTAGATTCTGACGGCAACTCAACAAAGAGTAGCGATTTAGAAGCTATATAGATAGTAGTTGTGAAGTAGGCCGCTACCCGTCTTGGCCTTCTTACCTTTCTTTAGACCTTTCTTCCTGTCTTTCATCGTTCTTTCTTTTGTCTGTATATATATATACATATATTCTTTCTTTAAACCTTCTTTCTTTTATGCCTTCTCTCCGATGTTTTCTTTCTTCCTTCGCCTTTCTTTCTTCATTCACCATCTTCGTGTCTTTTCTGTTTCCTAAGTTAAGTAAACTGTTGGCTAGGCCGTTGGCTGGGCCGTTATCAAAGCCATGCGTGGTGTCTAACCTGAGTGCCCTTTGCTCAGCCAGAATTACGTCGAGAACACTGGGGCTGTTCTCAGAGAGATTGGACCCAAACCCATCTCCAACACGATGAGTTGCAGCCGAAGATGCTTTGTGTTACGGCCGCATGTCAACTCTGTGAGTGGGTCTCAGCTCTGCCGCTAAAACTGCCACATGCAGTGGAACCAAATGGACAGCACATCAATTCAAAAGTTTTTATTTTCCTGCCATCTCTACGCAAACATTGGAATCAGAAAGGCCTGACAGAACCTGGTTCGACAGCTTGTTTGGATCCCCTTGTATGCTGACTCATACTCAAATCCAGCCCCCAATTTGGATGACTTGGAATGTTCAAAAATGCTGAGAGTTGAGATGCTGTCCAGGTGAATTGATGAAGCGAGGTCAGGAACGTGTGATGCCCGCATGACACCTTCTCCTCCAGTCATTCAATGTCCCTCTCCCGAACACGTTCGCCGCCACCTCTGCTCCATGAGGTACCGCACGGCTGTACGTGTGCATGTACCGAACACAGCATGAATCGTGGATTGCGCACAAACAACTTGCAGAATTGGTCGATCTCTGTCCCGCAAATTTCACTACAAGGAACTAAAAGGCGCAATCACAGGCAGTCGCGTTCTTTAACGCTGTGAAGCAATAGTGAGGTCGAGAAATTAGGGACTTGCAGTAGCGACGCTAGACAATGTGTTCTTGTGACTCTTGGTTTTGCTTTTGTCTTAGAAGACCCACTAGTAGGTTGGAGGCCGTTGCTATTAGGTCGAAGACCCACAAAGACTCGCCACTTCCTTGTAGTCGCCACTTCTGCAAGCACACAGGCACGCAGTGAAGACAACAACATCACTCTGCACGATGGTGTCATGGGACTGATCGGCATGTGACAGATTCGGCAAAACGGTAAGGATTCACCGGAAAGCAGTGGTGCAGCATGGTGCAGTGGTAGGTCGATTTCCGCTGACCACTCACTGGCTGTGTTTCTCCTAAGTTCTGAGAGCTCAAGTTGTTAGTTTTGCTGTTCTTATGAAAATACCGAATACTCAGTGATTTATGGCTCATGACCATAAACATCGAACTCCTTCATAGTGACCAAAGCCATACCTTGATCCGTATCACACCGGAAAGGAACCTCTACGTCTGACGTTGGATATCAGCCCCAATATCGTAGCTGTCGAGCCTTACTCTTGTGTGTGTGGTGGGCCTGTTTGCTACAACCAGAGCTACCCACTGCCCGGTGCCAATTCGAAGGTCCCAATGAAAGCTACCAGCATCGTGCTCCTGGAAAGAAAGCTCGGCCACAAGAAACCCAATGCTGCAAGTAATCCTTTAATAACTTTGATAGGCCATGGACCAGGTGAGCAAACTAGTTTGGCACAAATGCAAGAAGTCAGCAATATCAAAACAAACAAATCCTCTAGTTGTGGTCTAAGGATAGATCTCACGCGGTTCTACTCGCTTGTGACGTCCTGCACTGCACAGCAAGCCTAGGAAGAGCGTGAAATGAAATCGGTGTTCTCGCAAAGGCGAAGGCATGGGACTATGCAAATAACCGAAAAGAATATTAACAATAACATACCCGCATTATCTCATTATAGAATTATAGGAAAACAAGACTTTAAGGAACCTAATAGCAGTGGCCTCAAACCTACCAGCGATGGCCTCCAACCTACTAGCAATGGCCTCCAACCATGGCGGCGTCCAACCTAATAGCGATGGGACTATGCAAATGCAGAATCGCTGACACTGTTTGGCAAATGCCTGCTTCCTCCTTCAGCAGGAAACCTCTCAGAACTAGGGAGCCTGCCTGCATACAGAAGAAATGTATGTATGACTTGGCACCTTAACGACTGGAGCTGATCAGTCCGTAGAACAATGCCGTTCTAGGAGCCTCCAGTAAGCTTTTGGTGAACCTGTTGTGACCTTTGTGCATTCCAAATTACAAGCGTTGCTGGTAAGGCCCCACAGACCACTGGAACTGTTGCCCCAGCTCAACCCGGGACTATGTTGCTTAAGATCCAGAATCGGTAGCAGTAGCAAGAATCAGTGCAAGAGAACAAAAATTCCAGAGACTTGCGCGGCTCGGCTGATAGCTAATGCGGCCAAGTAGCAACGGCACGTTGTCGGCGGTGAACCACCCCGACTGGGAGCTCATGCCAATCGCCGTCGAAGTGTGTGCAGTGCCTGCACTTGCCCGCAGCTTTGTGGTCCATCCTAGTTCCGAATCCAACAGGCTCATGTTGTACAAATGTCTTTTCTATTCTTTCCAGGCCGCTTAGAGGTGGTAGCTTAAAAGTAGTAGCTAACAAAGCAGCCAAAGTAGTACCTAGGAAGCGACGAGTAGCAGAACGCAGGAAAGCTCAGGCTTCTTCAAGGAAGCTACCCCCACCTGAGGGCGGGGGGAGGTTGCTTGAAAAAGCCCTCGCACAGTTTGTTTGGTTCCTAGATTCTCGGGGAAACTTAACTGATACCATGCTTGCATTTGCCCTCAACATAGAAACAGTACACCACTGCATACATGACTCCACGTCCAGGACCAACCTCTAACAAGCACAACTCAAGAGTTTCTTGAGCTATTTGGAACGCCAAAATCCAATGCTACAAAATCACCACAGTGAAGGGCCACAAGTTTCTCCAGCATTCATCCGAAACAAACCTGTTCCAACAGCGGCCGTGCACGGTGACTTGGTACCATCTCCTGACAAAGTAATCTCAACTTCATGCGGACAAGTCCTGCTTGAGAGTCAAGGCCTTGACTCACCAAATCTCAACAAATTCACTCTCCCTGTTTGTCTTTATCTTTGTTGGAGGTCATCGCTAGGGTGGAGGCCATTGCTACTCCCTGTCTGGTCTCCTTGATGGCCAACTGCAGCTGCCTGGTAACCTCAAACAGCTTTTCAAATGCCGGTCAACAGCTCAGGACCGCAGTGTCAAAAGCTGGTCAGGTCAGCAGCATCTTTTGTTTGAGTCTTGGTAAGCACGGCCGACGCTCAGTTGGAATGAGGTGCCTTCTCTTCTGAGAAAAGAATGGCTAGCTGCGGCTAACAAGAGATGGCAAAGGGTCTGTGTTGATCAGTTGGCGGAAGCACAAATCAACACACCACCTTCCCAACGAAAGTCAATGGGGCAAAAAATCCAAAATCTGTTTGAAAGGTTTAGGTTCTCCAGAACAGTACAACTGTGCTTCCGAAGAGGTAGCTCAAAGAGATCTTGATCTCAACTCGCCGCTATTCCACTAGGTGCTCTCCACAGGTGTGAAAAACAAATAAATCCAACGACTCGTCCTCCGACTCGTCCAACGGAAGTGCTTTGCCAAGTTCCGCTCTCAACATCCTGTGAACAAGATGATGGCTTCATGAGGAATTCATGAAGGTTAAAGTTCCGCTTGATCTCCATGTTGCCGTGGTTGCTGAAGTGGTCAGCAAAGCCGAGCTGGGATTAATCGAAAGAAACCAAGTCTCCAACTCCGAAACTCTTTCACCGAAGTGCAAAAAGCCACAAAATGAAGTCTTTCGCAGTCCTTCAATCCAACATTCAGGTCCTTCAATCAGAAAACACAGAGTCCAAACCATCGCAGTTCCTTCAATCTTAAAGACTGCCCTCCAGTGAAATTGCAAAGCTGGATTGCTAAAGCTTGGTTTGAAGCCGAAGCACAAACCCCAAGGCACGGTTCACTGGTCAGAGTGACTTCTGAGTCCACCTGGAGCTTGGAAGCGCTCACCATGATTTCGACCAGGATTCTTCGAAACTGCCAGGCATCCACCGATGATGGCCAATTCTCCGGTCGTTGCTGGCAACACCTGGCTGGCTGCCCATGTGGTGACTCGGTCCCAATTGACGGCAAAGTGGGCCCCTGCGACTGTTGAGGTCTTTTAGAGCTCTCCCCATCGACCTAGCAGCATCGTTCTTCATCTTTATTGATGGATCCTCTCAGATCCTCTCAGCATCTGGGGCTCCAATGGGCGACAAGTCCCACATGGCTATCTCAGAATCCTTTAGATCGATGGCATGCGGGTGAGATACCAAACATATCAGTGACCTCTCAGGACGGAAGAAAGTCAACAAGAAATACACCCAAGAAGCTTGAGCATTCAGTCGATGGCAAGCAGACTGTGCATTAAAACTGGAGCTTCACCAGACCACGTGATTCTTGAGATCGTTGCCCTTTCTTTCTGCTCTTCATCCAAGGAAACCCTCTCGATGACCAGCGTCACCGCCTAAGCTGTGTCACAACGAGCCCAAGTTGGCCCAAGACTCAAAAAGACAAAGGGCGTAACGCAATGTCTCTAGCAGTCTGGAAAGCAACTTAGCACAAAAATCCATAGGCAAACGAATAAACTCGTACCTGGGCTAGCTCCACCAGTTGTGCATACGCAGGAGATTGCACCTGGCAGATTATAGTTGCTCAAGGTATTGCCGTCAGAGTTTTCTGTCACTAAAGCCTTGTCGATCATCATAGGTAGAAGTCCAGGCGCAGAAAAGTAGTTGGACGCCTGGACACGACCGTCACACGGTAGTCCAGAGCAGATTCAGTCACCCAGAATTACCTCACATGTCGCCGTCCAAGGATGTTTTAATGCAAAGGTTAGAGACACTGAAATCAGCTGAGTCTAGTAGACACCACTTGCCTCTGATGCACACAAGTGCTCAACTCAGTTCTGCAGTTTTGGATCTTGGTTGGTTTTGTCTTCATATCTGAAGACTTTGAAAGCTGAAATCAAGTCTTGCCAACCAAACATTATCGTGCCTGTGGAATTTTTGCCAAGCTTGACAACAATCGACTTGTCGGGAACGCAACTTCCTCGACTTCAGGTCATTCAACCCATTCCAACCACAGAGGTACCTGTAGCCTAGCTAGCAGCTGATAGATGTCCTGATTATTGGGTTGCGTTTCTCAAGGTTTTTTGGCCAATTCAGATCAACTGGCAGTAATTAGCAGGTGAGAAAACGTGTGTTGAGGTGGGCTGATCTTGGGTGCGAACAGCGTTGTTGCTCTGAAGCAGATTTTGAATTTCCTGAAAAAGAATGTACCCCTCTTCTGCAGGAAGATGCCCAAGCAACTTCAAACGTCAGTGTTCATCCTTCCACACAACAGGGGCCTTGAAGACATCTTCTTTGAGAAGCAATGTTGCTGCCGCGGGATCCTTCTTTGAGGTCAGATTACACGACTGCACACAAGTAACCTGTCAGAAGTCAATAGCAACACTGGAACGTTTGCAAAAAGAGTCCCTCCGTGGTGCCTTTGCCATGTCTGCCAATGCTGCTGCTGACTCCGCCTGCAGTACTCTGTCTGGACTTCACTGAGTCCAGGGAGTGCAGGAGTGTGTCTCCATCCATACTGTTTCCATCTAAGCTGCAACGAAAATGCCGCTCTATTTACTGAAGCTGAACATGAGAGCATGAAGCCCAAAAGGCCTGAAGCGACGGAAACGTCCCCAAGCTGGCCATGTCCAGCAATGGCATAATCTGTGGCCAGACCATCTTTTGGCAACACACCAGAAGGAATGAAGGAGTCTTCTGGACTGAGACCAAAAGAAACTGATGCTTTTCTGCTTTCAGAGTTCGGAAAAGAACGTCGAAGCTGCCTCAGCATCGGAAGAGGTTGGGCTCTCACAAACTGGTGGGCTGAAGTTTGGCATAGCCTAGCGGGCGACATCCTTGAAGTGACAAGACGGAGACGACAAAAAGGAAGGTGCCTTGAATAAGGCCCTCTCAAGAGGACCTCATTAAAAGGGTCCAAACAGCGTCCTTTTTCATGTCTTGTTTCAGCTGCATTGAGGTCACTTCTGAGAAGTTGTACGTTTTCGAGGTCTGACCAGCTGGGCAAACATGCTGTACCGATTGGTTGAAGAGACTGGATTGGAAGTCTTCTACTACGGCGACGGCTACAATTCTCGTTGGTTTCTGCAAAAGCTCGCTTCAGTAGATCCACTGAAATCTCACAGCCGCCTCATGTGTGGATTGCACTGTGAAGAAAGATCTCAAAAACTTCACTGCCTCAGAACGCCAGCGGAAGACACACTGAGTCAATTAGTCCATTTTGCAGACATGTCCGAAAGCTCGCATGTTCCTCACATTCGCTGGGCCTCGGAGAAGGCACGGTTGAAAGCAACTGAACAGCCCATGCGTCTCTGAAATTCCACGGCATACCTGAGAATTCTGGTGGCGCCTCTGAGCTACCTGATACCTGTGAGGTCCTCTGACATTCTAGGCGATGCTCTTGAGACCGGTGAGCGGCGCACTTCTCATTCTCTTCAGAATAGACACGAATCTTCAGTGTACATTTGACCTCACGGAAACAAGCTCAGATGCAAATCAGTGTCAATCCAAAATCAGTAGATCGGTCTTTGGTGGATGTTTACGGATACGATCTATTGTGAGTCTTGGTTTGACCAGTGTTGACCCAGACCTGTCAAACGAAGGCCAATGAACACAAGCTGCCAATCGCTTGGGCTTAAGAATGCTAGGATGAGACAGGATTCGTCTGCGAGCAGTCTCTTGGGAAGCAGACTGAGCCCACGAAGGCATCAGCCTTGATGGCGAACTTGCCCGGCTTGCCTACCTGAACACCGGCTACCATCAGGGAACCTGCTTTGACATCCACAAAGCCAGAACGACGTGTATCTGCACCTTAATGTTCGGAGAAGCTAGGTCTTGCATAAGGAAATTCAGCAGGTGGTTCCTGAGTTTACGGAGCAACGCACTGTTGTTTTGAGCTACCATAAAAATGACGTTTTGCTCTAAAATAACATTGGTTATTGGTTAGATTCACCAAACATTTCTCCTCTCTTGGTCAAGGGACCCGAGAGTCCATGGAGTCGCGGTCTGCACGTATGCAGTGGTCACCTGTGGTCAGGTCAACGCAGGTTTTGAAAAGTGAAATAATGCATGAGTGTTTCGTTTTATTCCTGTAAGGAATTAATCTTGAGGGGCTCAGAGTGGGCAATGAAACCCAAATCTGGGAGAGCCGGGGGCGAAGTTTACAAAGAATATACAAACCAAAGGCAGCCCACGAGCCCGAATGCACATGGGACTGGGACACTCTTGTAGACACTCTTGTGGGATCTTGTGGGACATTCTTGCCACTCACTGTTGTTTAGCATGCTCTTGTGGGACACTTTTCCTGCAAGACTTCCTTGACCCACCAAGCGTTCAAAAGGAGCATCTCGTACGAGACTCCAGAAGTCACGCGTCAAGTCTTCACGACAAACATTCGTACGAGACCTCCTTCAAGAATGGCGTGTCAAGCCTTCAAAACGAGCACTTCGTATGAGACTTCTTCCGAAAGTAATGCATCAAGTCTCTGAAACGAGCATGTTGTATCAGACTTCCTCCAAAAGATCAAAAACAAAGTCCGAAGTCTCATCAGCGCAAACACATCACACAGCCCTGCCAAGCAGCTTCACATTCCGTTCCGCTTGAAAGGGCGGCCGTCGACACGCCAATCCCAACGGCACGGCAAAATCATCTGCTCCAAGCGTCGCAACGTCACAGTTCCCTGCGTCTGCTGCCTCGCTTGATGTTACACAAGTGGGTGGAAGAGTCAGCAGCATCAGGCACAATGTGAGGTGGATTGGCATCCAGAGCCGGAACCTGATCTTTTGGAGTACTGGGTCCACGACAACAGGAAGGTCATCTCATTTCCATGACCGACACATCCATCACTTATATTTATCAGAAGTGCAAAGATGACACATCCTTGCTATGGGACTCGCATGACGAGAACCGATCACACTGCCTCAATTATGGTTATGTGTATTGGCCCAACCAAGATCATGGAGGTGTAGCATCTGACAAAGAGCCGGCACACTGCCTCCCAGCACCCCCAACACACACACACAAAGTGCTGCACATAATGCGCAAAGTCGTAAAGTGTTTACGCCTCACCTTGACATGTTACTCTATCCCCAGACCCCCAGAGTTAAAGGAGAACCCTTCGCGGGGCATTCCGGAATAAATAAACGTCAAAACAATATCCCTACCTGCCCTACCTATTAAGAAGGGGACCTTAAAAAATGTAAGTTACAATATCTGGGGGGCATGGAAAGTGAACCTTAAAAATGTAAGCTTACATTTTTCCAAGTAACATTAGAAAAATGTAGTCTACATTTGGTTTTTATGAACCTAAACAAGTGTAACTTACATTTGTTTCAGATCCCCCTCTCTTTCCCAATCCCCAGGTAACGGCTGCCCACCTCCAAAAAAAGGTAAATTGCTTTGGGTTAGGCCTCCAACCTACCTATAGCGATGGCCTCCAACCCACTAGCGATGGCCTCCAACCTACTAGCGATGGCCTCCAACCTACTAGC